CTGACATACATGGGGTCCCCATAAGTTTGAATCAACTTGAGGTAATTGACTTTTATATTTAAATATCCTGGTTATCAACTTTTTTGCTTATATATGTTACAATTTTCCTATGCTGTATTCTATCTTTACTTTGTTTTAACTTTTTCCACAGTCACTTTTAATTCCTATGTAGTAAAAAATCCATCAGGGAGCTCTGGTAGCCCAGAGGATAAAAAGCTGTACTGTCAACCCAAAGGCAGACATATCAAATCCACCAATAACGCTGATGGAGAAAGACAGGCAATCTCCTCTTGTGTGATTTATAGCCTCCAAAAACCCACCTGAAGGTCATCTATGAGTCACTACGATCAATGGCAATAACAGTGTATACTTATTCATACACAGACCTCTAAATATTCCTAGTATTAAATATACTAAGACATGAAATTAAATATCAAAGGGAAGAATATGACTGAGATTTCACAAGCTGAAAGAAATAAAGAAAAATTGAAGCCTCAAGTTATAAAGCTGAAGGACTAATTTGAGAGGAAATCAATCACGTAAATGTAGAGGAAGCAACAAGATGAAAAGAATAAACTGATTCATCGGACCAAAAAGAGTAACATTTAAACATCTCAAGAGGCAGTATCTGATAATAAATAACTTACACGATAGATGAAATATAAGTTCCACTGCATTTATGTTTATTATGCTTATTACACAAACAGAACATCTGAATTACTTAACTTTCTCATACACTGATTATCCAGAAAAGCAATCCCTTCTTTGTGTTCTTTTTCAGAATTTACATAGTTGTTGTATTTTCTTCCAAGTTTTAAAATAAGCCTATCAAAAGGGATCAGATCTATCCTCTCATTGGAAATAACCCATAAAGGAGATGATAAAAATGCAGTACAATGAATTTTTCTTATATGGCCTTTGTGACGCTGGGTTTGTAATTCTCACCAAAATACTTACTATTGCTGCATAAGTACTGCTCTGTGTACTAGCTTGTAGAACCACTGGTAATACTGAGTAGCTTGAGTTGTTTCCAGTAGGAGACTGGATCTTGTTTGTGATCTTGCCAAGAGGCCCACACCATGGGAGTGCCATACATTCTCAAAGGTCAATCTCCCAAAGGTTTCTAAGGACTTCATAGCCACCTATTGGGCCAACCAACTAGAAGCGTTCAATATTTGTTCCCATTTCAAAAAAAGATGATCCAATAGAATATGGAAACCACCAAATAGTATCATTAATATCAAATGCTAAAGTACTGAAGAGCAACAGTGTCTCTCTGGAGACTAAGGCGTGTCTGATACAGGCTATGGTCTTTGCAATCACTTGTTATGCATCAGAGAGTTGGACAATGACTAAGGAGGATAGAAGGAGAATTGATGCCTTTGAGCTTTGGTGTTGGAGAAGTGTACTGAGGGTATCATGGATGGCTAAGAAAACAGATTCATGCTGGAGAGGGTTAAATCGGGTTGCTCCTTGGAGGCAAGGAATTCTAAGGCTTCATCTGACAAACTTTAGTCATGTTGTAAGGAGAGACCAGTCCTTGGAGAAGGACATCATGCTTGGGAGGGTGGAGGGACAGTGCAAGAGGGGAAGGCCCTCTGGGAGATGGATTGATTCAGTGACTGGGGTAATCAGGATGAGTGTGTCGGAGACAATAAGATTGTCACAGGAAAGAACAGAGTTTAGGGCTATTGTACATAGGGTTGCTATGAGTCACAAGCAACTCGATGGCACATAACAACAACAACAATAATATCAAATGCAAGTAAAATCTTGCCAAACATCATTCAAACAGGTTAGAAGACTACAGAAATGGAGAACTGCCAAAAATTCAGGCTGAATTTAAAAGAAGCTGTGGCACAACAAATATGGATCTTGGTTGAAAAGTAAAGAACATACCAGAAGGATGTCTTTTTCTGTTCTATTGACTATGCAGTGTTGAACATGTGGATCATAACTTAAGAATGGAAAACCAAGAACAATTAATTATGTTCATGAAAAACCTAAGCCTAGACCAGGAGCTGTGGAACAAACAGAGCAATAGAACATGGTTTAAAATCATGAAAGGTGTATGTCAAGACGGTATCATATCCTTCTTCCCTATTTACCTATCTATATGCTAAAAAACTTGTTCAAGAAGCTGGATTTTATGAAGAAGAATGTGGCATCAGGTTTGGCAGAAGACTCATCAACAACTTGTATCGTACAGACTGTCTGCTGAAACTGAGGACTTGAGTACTGCAAAAGATCAAGGACTACAGTCTTCAATATACATCACATCTCAATGTCAAGAAAACAAAAATCATCACCACTGAGTCAACAGTCACGATAGATGGAGAAAAGATAGAAACTGTCTATTTCATCTCGCTTGGATCCACAATCAATATTCTTGTT